ACAATCCATGTTCTAGACCGTCGGGAGGAACTCCCAACTCTGAGAAGGCCCTTCTGGGAACTCTGAGACATCAGCTCTATTGGCCTTCAGGCTTCTAGCAGAGCAACTGTGCTCTCAGATTCCTCTATGATCAGATGGACACTTCTTTACCCTCTTCTTGCAGTGAGAATTCCAGCAGGTGCTCACACTGTCCTCCCAAAACCTGCATTGGCAGTAGAGGAGACAGAGTTCCCACAGGACTGTGTGAGGTGCCCCTGGTATCCAATGATTTGTTTCATTCACTGAATAACAGAAGATGACAAGTCTGACGGCAGCTGATGTGTAAGAGTAGAGGAGGGATGCCTTAAGTTTTCTGAACTGTTTACAAATGGAAAAGGAGGCACTTCCTATGTCTCTTTCTAAAGTCTATGATTTTTAACTGTTTATGTTTTACATTGTTCTTATGCTTGACTCTTGTAATTTAAAAGTTAAAGAAAGGATATTATTTTAGTTTTTTGGGTGCTCTTGATTCTCTGGAACCCCAGCAGATTTGTAAAATAGAAAAAATTTTCTTTTGAATTGAATACTTCATAAATAATTGGATATTCCTATACCATAGTAAAATATACAATAACAATTTTCCCTAAGACCTATTTACCTAATTATTCAAGTGTACAAATTTTAATTCTTCTGGGATTCCAATACTAGGTTTTGGATATTCCACTTTCATATTTGAAAAAGTTTGAATTCCATAGTAAAATTATGTTAGACTAAAATCAAGACATAGTTGAGCAATGTAAGAGTCATATTTGGAGGATCTCCCCCTGTTATACATGGATATTAAGACAGACTATGGGAGGTTGCAGAGATGACTCACAGTTAAGAGCACCCAGTGTTATTCTAGAGGATCCCAGCTTAGTTCCTAGCACCCAAATGGGAGCTAACAACCATCTGTAACTGGAGTTTCATGCCTGACACCCTCTTTTGGCCTCTGTGGGTACTGCATATATACGGTACACAAATTTGTACATACAAACACTCATACACACAAAATTAAAAGTAAGTAAATCTTTAAAAAAAAATCACCCAGCTTAAAAAAGCAGACTACTGATTTTGTGCCATAATAGTAAGTTAAATAAAAATGTGTTGTCTAATATTTGCAATACAAAATGGTAGATTATTTGACCTGGAGGGACAGGCACACAGACTGTGCCAATCTCATTTTTAGAAAAAGCAACTGAGACAACCATTGTTTAAACAGATTTACTACACAACAAGACTGTCAGATCAAATGCCACTGGAGAGTATTGCATTGGTTTAAATTGAACTCCAATAGATAGACTTTCTCCTTTGTGTATAAAACAGCTTCCAATACAGGCTTCCATAAGATTTTATGAGTTTCAAAGTGCTTGGTCAAAATTTTTACATTTGCAATATAACTCTCTGAGTCCTTTGGGACAGAACATTGAGGCCCTCTCCTGGCTTCTACTTAGTAAATAGCTTTACTTTAAAATAACCACACCCTACCCGTAAGCCATCTGTAAACTTCTAAGTTTTCTGTCCATTCCTCTCTGCATGACCTCTGCAATAGTTTGGAGCTAAGATCTGAAGATCATGGGAAATGAGGGTCACAGACAGTAGGTGGATCTCTCAGTTTAACATCGGGAATTACTTCTTTCTTTTTCAGTGGAAAACAAAGCATGTTATTTGAACAATAGTCCTTCAAATGGAGTGTGTAACAATTCCAGGACTTACTAGCTATTCCACAAATGAAGACTGTAGACATCATTCAGTGGCTGAATTGAGTGGATTTGGTCCAAATCCCTGATCTCTGAGTTAATACTCTCTGGGTGGTAAGAGAAGAATGATCAAAGGAAAAGTTGATGTTGCAAACAGGCAGGGGTCCTGGAACTGAATGAGGAAGTATACCCATGCACACTGGGAACAGGAAAGGATACAACGACGAGGGTAAATGTCACAGGTGCTGAGTGTCAGAGCTCTCCTGGGGCTGATCTGTACCATAAACACCTAGGGTAGCTTCTAAGAGCTACAATATCCTTTGGGCTTGCTTGTTGTGATAATTGGACATTGGTCCCAGACAGCTGTGATTTTCATTTATTCCATCTCTAATTCATCTCCATATTTCTGCCTCTTCAGGAAGGAAATGTATGCCCATCTCCTGTCTCCCATCTTGGTATGACGTATTCTCCTTTGGGGCAGAATTTTGCCAAACAAAAGTTGGTTCCAAAAGCAGAATGTGATGCTTTAGAGAGATTCAACTCATGTGTTCTTAAATTTCATGTGATCTACCCTGAACTGCCTTTGAAAAGCCCACTCAATGGGTGCTGGGGCTGGAGCAAAAATACATTAAACTGCTTTATTCTTTGAAATAACCGTCACAAACTTTAGAGTTAGCTAGGCCCAATTGTCACTCCAGCTTTATGAATATGATAGAAAATGACATTCCTTCTTATGCATCTCGAAGTTTCAAGCTAACAAGGAAATTTACCCAAATCATCTTGATCTAGGAGACAGCTGAACACAATCTTGCAATACAACCTTCAGGTGTGTCCAGCTGGGGCTCCTCATGTAGCCTTTTCTGGGCATAAGTAGTATTACAGGTGACGCCCTGAGGTTGTAAGGAAATTACAATCAATCTCTGGTGGAAATCTTCAGTGCCAAGGTGTGGAGAGAGTTGTGGCCTCCCTCACGGAAGATGCTGGAGGGTTGTCTGATATCCCAGTTCTCAGAAAACTGTCACCTAACAGACAGAATTTGTTAGGACAATTGGAAAAGCTGAACTTACTTTAGACAAGTGTTGCTAAATTGGCCCTACCACCTTTTTAGAGAAACTTGATGGTGGTGAAAACTTTGAAAGTATAATCTGCAGTTGCATCTACTGTCTGCTTAACTTCAATTTCCTATCTGTGATTTGGACTTTGGATGTTGTGTGGTCAAGTAAAGGCTAAAGCTTCTATTTCTCGGGTGCTAACACTAGTGTGTCTTGTCTTACTTCATCGGTCTCAGTCTCTCCCTTTTCTCACCCTTGTCCTGACACTTGTGCCCTCAAGGCGTGTAAGCTTCATTTTTCAACAGTCACTTTAGGCATACGTCTTGAAGTTTTATTAAAAATGTTAGCTCATTTCCTTGTTTTTCCCTGAAGAAAAGTCACTGGACAGAACGATCTTTCGTGAGCAGCCCTGGTCACTTAGCTGGCAGATGGCTAGCCCATGCTGTCCTTGATGTTCCGTGGCTTGAATGCACTGAAGAGATTCGGGACTTCAGGAACCTGTGCTCACACTGCTCTACCACAGCATTCTGTGCAGAGAGAGTCCAGGGCCCCTCTCCAGAGAGAACGGTGTGAAAAGTGCTAACACCTTACATACACTCTTCTCCCCCCAACACCTTTCCCATGGAGCTTACTTGTCCATTTCTCGTTTTTAATGGAAAAATGTCTTCCCCCTTGAGTTGTCAGATTTGAAATATGCTCCTATGTTTCTCTCATGTCACTTAATGTATGTGGTTGATCATCCAGTAAAGAGACACCTGGCTTGAGACAAGCTGATTCTTCCACACACTTTGGAAACTCTTCCGAGTTTTCGGAATAATGTTCGTGCCATGCCTCGGGGCAGCCTTCCATCGTGTGAGTGGTGCGAACAGCAAGGGAAGACTTTGGTTACATGTAAAGGTCTCACCCTGCAAGGACGGCTTAGCACCAGCGACCTGCTGCTGGAGGCCGCACTTATTCTTGCTGTTCTGACATTACACTAACATGACATATTCCTATGAATATGAAAGAGCAAGGACTTATTTTTTCCTATGGGGAACCAAACAAGGCAAATGACATTTTGTGTCAGTTGAAAGACTCCTCAAAGGGCATTCAAAATACCTTGTCTTGAAACAATGGTGTGTCATCAGCTGTGTTAAATAACTCAAGTTAAGGGCAGTTTATTTCCTGTGTTGTTTTATTTTTGGAGAGGTTTACTTGCCTGCCTGTGCAAGCTACGTGATTTTTTCCTTTTGAAAATTTTTGAAAATATAGAAAAGCATAAAATTCTAAAAACGCCCATGACTTCAACCCCCCTCCCAGAACTGGTATTTCTGAAATGCTGTAATTTTAAATATGCATTTCTTTTAAGCCTAGTTAGCTAGCTCCTGAGAGTGGGGTTACAGACATGACAGCTTTTGAACTGGTCTCGAATGCCTGCTGTGTTGAGAGCTGGGTTGGGACAGTCAGACTCACCCAGCAATGCCTGCCACCACTTACTCGGCTTAAAGAATGAATTCAACGCGAGCAAATGGTATCGATAGTCAGCACGGATTACATTGGGTATTTTATCAGCAAACATTTTTTTCCTGAGCTGGAAATGTCTGTATATCTGTCTAACTCTGGAGAGCCATGCCATTGCTTAGTGCAACTGTTTTCTAGGGTGGCAATGCACACAATTCTGAACCTCATAATATTATTAGACAACATGGAGATTATAAATATGATTCCACCTCAGCATAAGAAAACACTCAGCCGTTGATTTGGGCTTATTTCTGAATGACTTTTAAGACTGACTATTTAGATATTAACTAGGTGCTGGTTCTCTCAGGGCTTAGAAATGGTAAGATGAAAGAGAGGAACATTCCTAGAAATGAGTACTTGACCTGTGTGCTCCTTACAGTAAATTTACTAATTCATAACTTCTGTTTATGTGTGTGTGGTGGTTCTTTAAAGTTGATAGAATGTTTCCATTCAGTGGGCTGGTGGATGTCCTGCAGGACCCCAGCTGCCTGAAGAGGTATGCTGTTTTCTTGTGTTTCCATTGCACCACTAGAGACTCAGAGGGAATCCTCTGTGGTATTTCACATAGGTCGTGGATCTTTTATCTATAGGTTGTGTTTGTACCGAGAGGTGAGTATTAATAGCCATGGGTAGCAGAGCTACGGGGTGAGGGGGGGAGTTCCCTGTGCATGGGCGGATTAACCTTTCAAAATACATGTTTCTATTTAAGCCACTTAGTTACTATTTGATTGGAGCCTTGAAGACAAGGTCTCCATGTTACACCCTGCTGTGCCCTACCTAGATCTGAGAGGAGCTTTCGTATAGAGTATGGTGAGTAAGGCCCCATGTACGCCTTTGCTTTCATTTTGCTTGAGCATACTCTAACTTTTCTTCTGAAAGTACTTCAACTTTCCTCTTGAAATATTGTGTGTGTGTGTGTGTGTGTGTGTGTGTGTGTGTGTGTGATTATAAGTCCGGAACTGTTGGCTACCAGAGCACGGATCTGTGTGTTCTAGGTGGGAGATGGCAAGGCACTCATCCCAAGTGTAATAATGTGTGATGGTTTCCTTTAAATATTCGCCTTAGAGCACTTTGCCGCTTAGGTTCTTCACAGCCCCCGCCACGTAAGCTACTGAGATGAGCACTTTGCTGCACGAGTGCAGTTTAGATCATCTCTATGAATGATAACTAATTTAAGTAAGCGTGTGAATAATTTTACTCCAGTCATGGTTTTAGGCTGTTCCAGAGTTGAGCAATCCTGATTAAATAGGGATCGATGAAATTATTGTTCAGTGTTCTCCATGGTTGGGGAACAACTCCATCAGATTCCTTGTGCTACCAGGTAATCATGCTAAGAAGGGCTTCTAAAGTAATGTCTTCTGAAAGAATAAAGGGATGAAGTCTGTTTAGTTAGTTTCTCCAAAGGAGATTAGACACGGATTTTTAGGGAATAGTTTAAATATGAGCAGTGAAACTGTTTCCAGAGGAAAGTTGTGTTCGTAGTGGAGAGAGGTAGGCTGTGGGCATTGTGACAGAAAGCATCGTGGAGTGGATCTACTTTTACAGACTGTTTTTCAGATAAGCTATCCTCGATATTTTGAGACATCAAACTTTACAACTGCGATGTATTTTGTAGTTAATTCCTTCCCCCATGTCCTCCTTTCTCTTTTGCCAGCTATGCGTCTGTCTGTCTGTCTGGCCTTATCCTGTTGTCTGTATCACAGATTGTTTCTGCTCCATCTCCATGAAGTACACATTTAATTAAGACATTGTAGGCTCTCACTAAGACTTCCCCATTCGATTGGCAGTCATTGCGCCCATTTCCACGGCATAAGTGAGGCACAAGGAAGAAATAACTTTTCATCCTGAGAAGCTGTGTGTTGGATTCACTTACTTCTGCTACAGGATTCTAACCCCCATAGTAGGCAAGGAAATGCTTGGGCTAGTATAGAGAAAACAAAGTCCCATCACATTGGCTGTGTCCCTGTGGAAGCTGCTGGTCTCTATCCAGAGATGGAGAAACTGAGACCTGAGCAGGGAAAGAGCACTGCTTGGGTTCCAGTCACCTGAACACTTCCTGCGAAGAATAACTTCAGCCTCATTTTAACTATTTAAAAATATTGTTCTTTAGTGCTTTGCTATTTAGCTTTATTTATAATTAATTAAGCTATCATCTATTTGTAACTGTGATGAGTCTTAATTTTTAAAATATTTACTTCATGAAGGATGAATTTTTAAGATGGAAGAAACTTACTTTTCACACATATGTCTTTAGCTTTAAATAAGGAGGCCAAAATAAAAATATCTTTCCTGGAAATTGCACAGAACATGAGAAAAATCAATTTTATTGGAATTAAAATAAGCCCAAGATAAAATATCTCCATATTTTAAGATATAAGCACCACAAGGACCAAAAAGCTGCAGTGAATGGGTAGCATAGTCCAAATGAATGAATCCTTGGTGGACCTGAGCCTTGGGTGACAGAGGAACTGTCACAGGCATGGTCAGTCCACAGTTAGTAGATTATCTTGAAAAGCACTCAAGGCTAAGTATTCCTTGCCTCTGCTGATCGGAAATGCATAAATTCTACAGGAAAAGCTCGGTCTCTAATGCAGACGGGAGCACAGTAGCTAAGAAGACGCTGCTGAGGGGAACTTGCCCCTTTCAGTCTTTCAAACTCCATTTCAAGTTGAAAATAGGGAGAAGGGTTTCCTTCAGGTGTGAATAAGTATAGATAAGCACAGTAAGTGTTTCCAGGTGACTCTCAGAGGGTGGTACCCTTGCCATGTGCTCAGTAGCATCTTTGGGGTGTAGCTATAATCTTTTATTTTTTTCCAAGTTTTGTCATTTTTCACAAATTCTCACTTGAAAAGTTGTTCAAAATTTTCTGAGAAAATGGCTTCCGTTTTTGAATTTCCAAAGAAAACAAGCAAATTGGGTACAGAAGCCCAAGGATTTAATTCCAACAACCACGAGGCAGAAGGGTGAGAAATTCATCCTCCACTGTGTAGGAAATTCTAAGCTATCCTGGGATACATGAAACCTTATCAGAAAAAAAAAACATAACAACAACAAAAGCCCCTGTAGACTGCCCCACCCTGACACGCAGAATAGTGACACTAAGTGCCCAGTGTCACTAAGTGCCCTTATTTTTTGTTGTTGTTTGTTTATTTTAGGGTTATAATTTAATTACATTTTCCCTTCCTTTTCCTTCCACCAGACCTTTTTATAGATCATTCCCTACTCTCCTTCAAATTCATGGCCTCTATTTTGACTAATTGTTATCACATGCATATATGCATATACATACAGTCCTGAATATAACCTGCTCAATCTGTATACTGTTACTTGTGTGTTTTCAGAGCTGACTGTTTGACACTGGATAACCAATATGACGGATCACCTCTTCCACCCCCAGCTTTCCTCAGTTGCATGCAGTTCTTTGTACTGAGCCTAAACCTCATAGGCACTTCCTCACCCACTTTGCCTTGTCTGTTGGTGGTAACCTTGTTCAGCTCATGTTTGGGTGGTTATATTGGTGAGATGATAGTATGGCTATCGCTTCTGATATTACTAGGATACACAAAACTGACAGCAAACTTCCCTGATCCTTTGCCTCTTACAACCTTTTACATCTCCCCTCTTCAACAATGTTCCCTGAACCTAAGGTGTGGGTGTGTTTTCTAGATGTATCCATTGTGACTGGACTCCACAACTCTGCATTTTGATTGCTTTCAGTAGCAATCTCTAAAGTCTCTAAAGAATAGTTTCCTTAGTGACGGGTGAAGACTTAGATGTATTTATAGATTACTGTTAGAGGTTATGCTGGTTTAGTAAAGTAGTAATTGTGAACTCTGATCCAATAATCATGATTTCACTAGTATTGAGTTAGTTAGCTTTCTAGCACTAGGCTTGGTTTCCTTCTTGCTGACTAATTGACCAATTCTTAATTCCAATTATAGAGCCATTGGTTACCACCTGTGTATATGTGCCACTACTGTACCTATAAGGTTTTGATGCTATGTTAGTCATTGATGTGATTCATAGGTATCATAGTTGAGCAGGACTGTTGGTTGCTTCCCTGCCTTGGAAGCTTGCGTGGCACCTTCTGGTACCATGAAAGCTAGTCCTCAGGAATGGGACATTCAAGTCAGTTTTAGATCAGGGGTCTCAGGGTCCTTTTTCTGAAGTGTATGATATCTTTAGCAATAAGAACTTACCCTCCACCTCAGGGTGAAGGGGGACAACCAAGGGAAACAACGATAGGCTGTATGTTTTGAGAAGCTCTTGTACAACCCTAGCCAACAATTCTAAAGAGGGATTCTCATATCTGGTATTGGTGTTTTTGGTAGGTGACCTTTGGTCTATGTGGAAGGGGTACTGTCAGCCCAGATGATAAAAGTTCTTTAAAACTGTGTATGCATATTTATACACTGAATTACATGCATTATAGGGTTTCTGTAGGTAAATAATAATATAATCCCTTGCGAATTTTCTCAGCCATCCATATTTTTCCTTCTGTATTTTTCTCCTTTCCTGAGGAGACTCCTTTTCCAATCTACCTTATCAGATCACTTGCATCTTGTTAGTCCCCTTTCCTCTCCGACCACGTTCTTTGTATTTACCTCCCTCTACACTGCTAAAGTTCCCCCCTTTTCCCATCTCCCTGGTGATTATTTGAATTTTACTAGCATCTTTTTATTGTTCCTCAGCAACCCCTCCCATCCTAACAATGGTCCTGTTTTATCCTCCTGATTTTGGTAATTGAATAATACTCCATAGTGTATATGTACCACATTTTCACTGCCCATTCATCAATTGAGAGACATTTAGTTTGTCCCCATCTCCTAGCTGTTGTGAACGGAGCAGCATTCAGTATGTCCAGTGTCTGTGGAGTAGAATATTGATTCCTTTGGACATATGCCAAAGAGTGGTATAGCGGGCTCACATGGTATATTTATTTATTTTTTTAGCTTTTTGAGAATTCTCCACATTGGTTTTCATAACAGTTGTACTTGCTTGCAACCCCACCAACAGATAACAAGGGCTCCCTTCTCTGTATGCGCTCTCCAGCGTTTGTTGTCAGTTGTTTTCTGGATTTCTGCCATTCTGACAAGAATATGATGAAATCTCAAAGTTGTTCTGATTGGCATTTCTGTAATTACTGAGGACAATGAATATTTATCGAAACATTTCTTAGACATTTTACTTCTTTTTAGAATTCTCTATTAGGTTCCAGGTCCCCTCCCACCCTCACCGCCTTTTTTTGAATGGGTCATTTATTTTGTTTTGTTTTCTATTTTGACTTTGTTTTTTTAGTTTTTTCAATATTCTGGATTTCATCCTTTGTCAGATGTATATGTACAAGAGATTATTTCCCATTGTGTGGAGTTTCCTTAGCTGTGCAGAAGTTTCTTATTCTAATGAAGCCCTACTTACCAGTTGTTGGTTTTAATCCTTGGGCAGATTGAGTCCTATTCTGGAAACCCTTTCCTACACCTATGTTACATAGGGCATTACCTATGGAATACATGACACCCTATCCAAAAGCAAAAGCAGTAGGTTGTCCTACATTCACATATTCTGGTAGCACTAAGTATATTCAGTGGGGGAGAATAATGGGGAGGGGTGAAGCAGGGAGCAATTTCAACAGTGAGAAATAGGCTGGATTTTACCAATACACAATATATGCATACGTGAAATTCTCAGAGAACAAAATACATATTCCTTGTAGAATAAAGTATAAAACATATAAATAGTATCAAAACCATTTCTTTGATTTATCATAAAAAGAAACATTGCACATCTAATGTAGACAAATTAACTTTTGC